CCCCTCTGTCCCTATTCCTATAGCCCCTTGTTCCTATAACACCCAGCCCTATCGGCCAATGGCCTCCAGTGTCAGGGGGCTCAGACCCGGCAGTGCTCTGGGGAAACACCCCGGGGTCTGAGCTGCCGCCTCAGTTTGGGGAACAAAGGGCCGGCTCTGTCCTGGTACGGGGAGGTGGCTGCCACACCCCTCCCCACCCCCCCAGCATGGAGAAGGGTGACAGTGGGGACAAAGACACAGCCTGCCTGGATCTGTGGGGCAGGAGGGCGGGGAGCAGTGTATGAGGGCTTCCCAAAAGCCTCCCCCGAGTGGGAATGTCTGGAGGGACCAAACAGTGTGGGTGTCCCCTGTCCCCCCCACCCAGGAGCCACAGACGGGTAGTACCTGGACAGCAATAAATTTATTAAGTATTCAAAAAAAATAATAAGACACGAACCAGTAAAAAACGAAAAGGGGGGGAGGTAGGAAAGGGGGCTGAGGGGCCGAGCCGGCTCAGGGGGGACGGGGACAGGAGACACTGAGGGGGCGGCAGGGGAGCAGCACCTGGGGGACGCAGCAGCGCGAAGCCGGGGGGGCTGCGGGCACTGTCGGGGGCGGCGTCGGGCATCACTTGGCGCCCTGCGCCTCCGACTCCTCCTCATCATCCTCGTACATCTCGCCCTCCTCCTCGGCCGTGGCGTCCTGGTACTGCTGGTACTCGGACACCAGGTCATTCATGTTGCTCTCGGCCTCGGTGAACTCCATCTCGTCCATGCCCTCGCCCGTGTACCAGTGCAGGAAGGCTTTGCGGCGGAACATGGCTGTGAACTGCTCCGAGATCCTCTTGAACAGCTCCTGGATGGCCGTGCTGTTGCCGATGAAGGTGGAGGACATCTTCAGCCCCCGCGGCGGGATGTCGCACACGGCCACCTTGACGTTGTTGGGGATCCACTCCACAAAGTAGGAGCTGTTCTTGCTCTGGATGGCCAACATCTGTTCGTCCACCTCCTTCATGGACATGCGGCCACGGAAGACGGTGGCCACGGTGAGGTAGCGGCCGTGGCGGGGGTCGCAGGCGGCCATCATGTTCTTGGCATCGAACATCTGCTGGGTGAGCTCAGGCACGGTGAGGGCGCGGTACTGCTGGCTCCCCCGAGCCGTCAGCGGGGCAAAGCCCGGCATGAAGAAGTGCAGCCGCGGGAAGGGCACCATGTTGACGGCCAGCTTGCGGAGATCGGCGTTGAGCTGACCGGGAAACCTGAGGCAAGTGGTCACTCCGCTCATGGTGGCCGACACCAGGTGGTTGAGGTCGCCGTAGGTGGGGGTGGCCAGTTTGAGGGTGCGGAARCAGATGTCRTAGAGCGCCTCGTTGTCGATGCAGTAGGTCTCGTCCGTGTTCTCCACCAGCTGGTGGATGGAGAGCGTGGCGTTGTAGGGCTCCACCACCGTGTCCGACACCTTGGGGGACGGCACCACGCTGAAGGTGTTCATGATGCGGTCGGGGTACTCCTCCCGCACTTTGCTGATCAGGAGGGTGCCCATGCCCGAGCCCGTGCCCCCGCCCAGCGAGTGGGTCAGCTGGAAGCCCTGCAGGCAGTCGCAGTTCTCACACTCCTTCCGCACCACGTCCAGCACCGAGTCCACCAGCTCGGCCCCCTCCGTGTAGTGCCCCTTGGCCCAGTTGTTCCCGGCACCGCTCTGCCCTGGGAAAAGAGGCTCCGATGGCCGCTGGCCCCCCACGCCCGTGCCCGAGGGGAGCGGGGAGAGAGGATCGGGGCTGGGACCGGCCGCTGCCGCCGGCAGCACCTGGAGATGTGACGCCGGGCGGGGTGGGAAGAGGGAACCGCAGAGGTTTGGCGGCGTGCCGGCACTGCCGGGCCCCGCGGCGCGGGAGGGGTGTGCCCGCCGAGTGCCCCGGGGGTGGCGACGGGCCAGGCGGGTCCGAGGATGCAAGGGGCTGGGGGAAACATCAGGGGACGGTGAACCCCGCCCTCGCCGGGGACCTACCAAAGATGAAGTTGTCAGGGCGGAAGAGGTGGCCAAAGGCACCCGAGCGCACGCTGTCCATCGTCCCCGGCTCCAGGTCCACCAGGATGGCGCGAGGCACGTACTTGTGAGCTGAGAGAGACCCCATGATGGGAGGGGACCTGCCATCTCCCCCCATTCCCGGCCCCGCGGGTGTTTCCCAGCACCTGCAGGGTCCCACGGGGCTGCGTGCAGAGGTCGTGTCCCCCCCAAATCCCAGGGGCTCATGGGTGCGTGTCTCATGGCCCCACAAACAGTGGGGGTCATATGGGGTGGGTGCACATGTCTGTCCCCCGTCCCCCCTCCGGGCCCCACGGGCTGTGTGTATGTGTCACATTGTGTCCCCCACRCCCCACAGGACCCTACAGGGCGGGTGCAGGTTTCCCTGTCCCCCCGAACCACGGCACTGGGTGATGTGTGGTGTCCCCTCTCAGCACAGCGTCCCACGGGGTGGGTGCCTTTGTCATGCCCAAACTACGGGGTTCCATGGAGGTACACGTGACTGCAGGGTGTGAGAGGGTGGCTCTGTCCCACCCCTCAGGGTGTCTGCCCTCCGCRGCTCTGGGGTGCAGGTGCTGTGTGTGACCCCTCCCAAATCACAGGGTCCCACGGGGGAGGTGCACATGCCTGACCCCCACACCTCCCTGGGGTGGGTGGCTCTGTCTGTCCCCCCTCCCCGCCCCGGCAGACCCAGCTCCTGCTGCTTTTGGGGTCCCACCCCCAGCCCAGGGTGGGGGTTCCAGGTTGCCCTGCCTGGGGGGGTTCCGAGGGGGGGGGGTCGCTTACAAGAGGCCTCATTGTAGTAGACACTGATGCGTTCAAGCTGCAGGTCCGAGTCCCCCACGTAGTTGCCGCTGGGGTCGATGCCGTGTTCGTCGCTGATCACCTCCCAAAACTGGGGAGGACGAGGAGCTCAGCAAGGCGGGAGGCGCTGGATCACCCCCAARCCCCCGGGCGAGGCACGGGGCACCAGGATCCTCCCATCCCTAGGCAGGGCTGGGTGGGGCAAGAGGCACGGGGACACCCCAAACACTGAAATCCCCGGGCAGGGAGGGGCGGGGGGCGCCAGGACTCCCCAAACCCCTGGGCAGATCTCAGCMGGGCGGAAGGCACCGGGACCCGGTCAGGGCTCAGCGGAGGGGCGGGTACCGGCATCCCCYGAACGCCCAAAATCCCGAGCAGGGCGGGGGGTACCCCGGGATCCCCCAAAAGGCGGGTGGGGCTGAGGGGAGCGGTGGGCGCCGGGACCCCCCAAACGCCGAGCGGGGCGCGGCGCGGGCGCTGTCCGCGGTGCTGACGGACAAAGGCGGAGGGCGGGGGGGCGGAGCGCTTTGTCCTCCCGGTGCGGCGGGAGCGGGGGAGGGGAGCGCAGGGGAGGGGGGAGCGGGTCGGTCTTTGTCCGCCGCCCGGCTCCGCCGCGGCGGGCGGGGCGGGGCGGCGCCGCCGTTACCTTGGCGCCGATCTGGTTGCCGCATTGCCCCGCCTGGATGTGGACGATCTCCCTCATGGTGCGGCCGGGCCGGAGCGGAGCGGGACGGGAGCGGGCTGGGGCCGGGAGCGGAGCGGCACCGGAGCGGAGCGGCACCGGGAGCGCGGGGGGCGGCGCGGCCGCCGCCGCATCCTTTATAGGCTCCCGCCGCCGCACCGGGCCGGCCGCTGACGTCACCGCCGCCCGCAGCCAATCAGCGGCCGCCGCCGCAGCGCCGCAACAGCCCTGCGGCACCGGCACCGCCCGGCCCCGCCCCGCCCGGCCCCGCCCCGGCCACGCCCCGGCCACGCCCCGCCAACCGCGGAACCGCGACCCCGGCACCCGCGGGGGACACGGCCCGGGGGGCACCCCCGGCACCCACGGGGAACGGGGACGCCCCGGGACCTGCGGGGGGACCCTGGCACCGCTCGGCGTCGGCGGGAGCATCCCGGGGCGGCGCCGGCGGAGGGGCGGGGGGACACCCGCGGGACACCCCTCCCAACCGTGTCCCGTAACGGGGAGGGGTAGGGACAGAGTACGGGGGGGCCGCTCTGGGGGTGCCGATGGCCGGTCGCCCCCGCGGGACCGGAGACAGTGCCGGTGCCGGGGTGGGCGGTGGCGGGCGCGGCCCGAGAACAAAGGCGACCGTGATGGGCCCTTTGTCCGGGGGTGGCCGGGGCCGCCTCCCGCCTGGGGTCCAGCCTCCCGCCGCCCTGCAGGTCCCTCCCGGTGCCCGCCGGTCCCCACTGGGAACCAAGTGACCCTTGACCGATCGGCGGGGCCGGGAGGGACCTCTCCCCCCGGGGCTCCCTGGGGCTGCCCGATGCCAGCCACAGCGTCACTGCAAAGAGCCTTTATTGGGAACAGCGAGTCCCTCGCCCGGGCTGGCGGCTCGTCCCATCCGTCCGTCAGTCCATCCATCTGTCCGTTTCGGGGCGKGGGTGGCCGTGCYGGTACCRTGTCCCGCTGCCTACCAGGAGCACRTCACCACCTCCCGCAGCGTCCGCCGGAGCTCCTGGCTCCGGAAGGCGTAGATGAGGGGGTCAATCACCGAGTTACAGATGATGAGGATGAGGAAGAGGTTGAAGTAGCTGAAGAAGCAGGTGCAGAAGGGGTTGGTGGGACAGGTGACAATGAGGATGAGGTGGAAGAAGAAAGGCCCCCAGCAAATGAAGAAGACGCCCAGGAGGATGGTGAGGGTGACGGCACCCTTCAGGCTGCCACCACGGTGGGCGGTGGGCGGCTTCTGCTGGCTGGAGATGCTGTGGAGGTGGTGGCGGGCCAGGGCGAACATGTGGATGTAGAGCACCAGCATGAGGACCAGCATGAAGAGGAAGAAGCCGATGAGGCAGACGAGGATGGTGTTGCTGCGGCAGTAGGTGATCAAGACGGTGCTGGAGACGGTGCTGGCCAGCCAGACGCTGGCCATGGTGACCACGGCCCTCTGCAGCGTCATGATGCTGTGGTAGCGCAGGGCGTAGAAGATGGTGATGTAGCGGTCGACGGCGATGACCCCCAGGAAGGAGAGGGAGGACACGACGGAGCTGCAGATGAGCATGTCGATGACGCTGTCCATGTGGCGGACGATGCTGGGGTGCATCACCAGCACCCCGTGCTCCAGCAGCAGCATGAAGAGCATCTCCGCCAGGTTGCTGATGCTCACCAGCATGTCGGACACCGCCAGGCAGCAGATGAAGTAGTAGGTGGGCGAGTGCAGGTTCCTGTTCTTCAGGATGGCMGCCACCACCAGCAGGTTCTCCACCAGGCTCACCAGCCCCAGCGCCAGGAACAGCTCGCTGGGAATGTCCAGCCCCTGGCACCAGCCGCCGCTGGCCCCGAACACGGCGTTGCTCTGGTTGCCCTCGCTGGCGTTCCAGGGCTCTCGCAGCAGACGCAGGGGGGCCAGCGTCGACATGGCCCCCTCCTCAGCCCCGGGGCCCCCCGGGGTGCCCGCACAGCCCCCGAGCCCCCCGCCAGCGCTCCCGCAGTGTCCGGCGGCGAGGCCGAGGGGATGCACGGGAACTGGGGATGGGATGCGCCGGGGGTGCTGTGCACCCGCTGGGATCCCGCGGTGTGGCTGCCGCCCTCCGCGCTAGCCSTGCCCTGTGTCCTGTGCCCGCCGGCCCGGGGTGCTGGAGAAAGGGCCCTTTCTCTGCCCCACTTTAAAGGCGGCTCCCGCAGCTCCTCCCCGAGGAGGGTGGGCACCTGCGTGATTGAAGCACCCGGCAGTGAGGGGGGCCGCTGCCAAGGCCAGGGCTCACTGACCCCCAGCGTGGCCCTGGGGAACTCGACTGCTTGGGATCTCAGGGGTCTCAAATGCTCTGGGGTGGTCCGTGCATCCCTGGGGTTACGCACCTTGGGGTGGGCTGCCATAGGCCTCCTCTGTGCCCCGGGAGCTGTGCACCTTGGGATCCCCACGGATTGAGGTCCTGCAWCTGCTGGGGGAACCCCTGCAYCCCGGGGCCCTGTTTGTCTTGAGGGGTCCCATCTGCTGTGGGTGTCACCCACACACCCCGAGGTGTCCACGCGCCTTGGGGACCCCTGTAGGGCCCTCCCTACTGCACGACCCAAGCTGCCTCACACGGMAACCGGGAAAGGGTCCCATCCCCATGACCCTGGGGAAGATGTTTTACCATGGGGCAGGCGTGAGATCTGACAGGAATGGTCAAAAGCATGATTTAATGGGATGCTGCAGTGCTGCAGAGCCTGGCGCCGGAGGGGTCCCAGGCAGGCTGGGGGAGGACAGGACCCATCTGACCATCATGTGCCTTAGGTCCATGTTGATGCCTGGAGCCAAAGAACCATTCACAGCTCCATGAAAAGGCTGATCCCACGGTTATCCACTTCCGCTGGGAAGCCCATCCCTCTGGCATGGATGRAAATGGCTCAGCTGCACACACTGGGAAGGGGGTCCCAAGCTGCCACSGTGCCAAATTACAGGGATTGGGATCCTCCAATTGCAGGGACTGGGATCCCATGGGATTTGGGTATGCCAATGGAGAATGGAGTCAGGGTGGGCTGGCTTGAGACTGAAGGTCTGCACACAGCCCACCCACCCCAGCTACATCCCCCAGGGAGASAGCACAGCAGAATCAGGGATTTATTCCATGTATTCACCATTACTCAGCAAAAAAAAGAGAAAAAAGCTTTATGGGAACAAGGATGATTTAAGGTTTGACTATGGCTTACTTCGATCCTGGCTCTAGAAGGTGAAGGTGGGTGAATAAAGAATGGAGAAACAAAAGTGGGGGGGGAGGGAAGATTTCTTCTCCAAACATGATTAAAAGGCTGAAAAAGCTGCTCCATGCACAATTGTGGCAGCACAGGGGACCCTGAGACCTTTGGGAGGTTCAGTGCAGTAAGGGTGTGGAGTGTTTGGTGAAGGGACGGAAGCTCCAGGCTGTGGGAAACACAAAGGAGCTGAAGGAGAGGGCAGTAAAATCCTTCTGGGAATTAAGACAAGAGCCAGGAGAARAACAGGGAGGGGAATGGGATGGGAATTGTGTGTAGCAGAGGCCAGAAGGGGACTAAGCTGCCRTGGGGACAAGGGACAGCTGCTGTCGATTAGCTCGGACATGCTCAGACAGTCCTTGTCTCCCGTGGAGAGAGGGGCCCTGGCCAGGGCCCATGGCTGTGGATTCAGCCCCCGCCCCTGGACAGAGATCACGGCAGGGACACAGCCCCAGTGCTCACACACAGCCCGTTCCCACAGCCAGCCCGTTTGTGTGACTTTATTGGAGCGCAACACAAAGCGGACAGCGATGCCAGAGGGCTTGGGGAGAGAACCCCGGGCTCAATCCCAGTCCCCATCGCCCTCGGGATTGTCATCACGGGGGGGCTCCTGGAACTGGATGTTGGCCAGCATGTCCCTCATGGCTGCCATCAGCCTGTTCACGCCCTGGTTGAGATCCTGCGCTGCCCCGGCCTCCTCGTCCCCATCGTGCCGGATGTCCCCCTGCAAAACAGCAGCACTGTGGTGGCACAGACAGGGACAATGCTGGTGCCAAACCAGCACCAGGCTGGTGACAGCAGTGGCTCCTGGAGTGGGAGCACMACGGGAAAAACGGTGCACCCACCTGTAAGTTAAAATTTGGCAACAGCGAGCGGAAGAAGAGAGATAAAGTGCTTTCGTTGGAAGGATGGCTGGTCCTGGAAGAGACGAGTGGCACCATGGTGAAGGGACAGCTCAGTTTGTGACTGCTCAATGGGATGTGGGGGTGCTGGGAGAACCACAGCACTGCCAGAATCAGCCCTGAGAGAGGGAACTGGGGGGCTCCAAAGGGAGTCTGAATCAGGCAGCAGCAACTCCAAGCACTATCAAGGCCAGGCTGGATGGGGTTTTTGGAGCAACCYGGCCTAGTGGAAGGTGTCCCTTGGTAGGGAGTGGAATGAGCTTTAAGGTACTTGCAACCMAAAYCATTCCAGGATTCCATGATTCTACCAGCTCTGCTCTGAGTGGATCAGCGTGGAACACACACAGGGCATTCCCCTAACACCAGGACTGGCAGTATTTAAACTGCCATTCAYACCACACCCCCTCGGAAGGCCATGGCCTGGGTTTTCCCTGGCTTTTGTCCTACGGCTGGGAACAGCCAGCRGTGACCACCACGGGAAGCAGCCAGACCCGTCCAGCCTGTAGCTCTGCCTGCTTGGAGCACCACAGTTCTTCCTCTGCCACGGAGAAATGTCAGCACCCAGCACCCACGGGSAGCCCGGCCTGAGGCTGAGGGCGTGCCGACAACACGCGGGGAACACGGGAACACGGGAACATGGCTGGTTGTGCCAGCACCGGCGCCACGGGTGGAGGTGATACCTTTCCGGTTGGGTGTAGGAAACAATGGAATCCAGAGGAGGGAGGGGATCAAACCCCATCACTGGCTGTGAAGTCACCTCCTGCAGGGCAAGGAGAAAGGAGGGATGAAGGAAAAAGAAAGGAAGGAATGAAGGAGAAAAGAAGGGATGAAGGCTGCACATCCAGCAGCAGCAAACACGGGGGTTTTAAGGGAAGTTTTAAGCATAGGGAGGATGCCCCAGGGGTCATGGGAGTGAAGATGTGCCCAGCAGGGACACAAGTGCCACCTCACCACGTGCAGCCACAGCCCCTGTGCCCCACCAGGCCACTCACCAGAGGCAGGGCTGCCGTGGCCTCCTTCATCTCCGAGAGGATGATGTGCCGGTAGATGTTCCTGGGAGCACTCTGGTACCGGATCTTCCTCCTGATGCAGGAAGGAGAGAGCAGCGTGCCMTGAGCAGGCACATTCCTATTTCTGCTGCTCCAGGCAGTGTCAGCAGCTTCCCTGGCTCTGGAGGACTGGCCATATTGGATGGAGTTGTATTAATGTGAGCCAAAGCGGGGTGGCAGCTGCTGAGCTCCGGAGAAAGAGCAGAGAGCTTGGGGACAAGCAGATTGACCTTGGTTTAGGACACCCGATGGCTCTCTCCTGCTTCTCAGCAGGAGAAGGGAAGGGTTTCTAAGCTCTCATCTGCCCTGTGTGGCCATCCCTGCCCTCTCCAAGATGTTTCCAGGGTACAGGTGATAGCAAGCCTGGGGAAGGCAGTGCAGGATATGCAGTGCAGGTTCAGCTCTTCATTCCCATTTGTGAAAAGCATGGAAGAGCCTCTCCCTTCCTGGCCCTACATGTGATCCTCAGCATCAGAGCAGCAGCTGTGGGGCTCTGAGCCCTGCCCCAGACACTGGAACTGCCAAGGACAGACCCTCTGTCCCCTGTCCCTGCCCTCCACCCTCTGTGCTCACTTTTGCTCAGCCTCCTGCACCAGCGCGTCCTGGGCGTCCACCATGCGCAGCACCTCGTGAACGTGGGGCTCCAGCCAGGCCATGACAGCCGGGTCCTTCCACAGGGTGTGAGTTCTGCCCACGTACAGGGATGTCAGCTGGTTCAGGGCGGGCGACTGGCTATGGGAGAGGGATGTTACTCACRGCACCCTCCTCCTCCTCCTCTTCCTCACAGGATGCTGAGGGCTCAGCTCTGTGTGGCGTGGGAACACGAGGGGACTCGCAGGCGCCTGCCTGGCTATTGCCATCCCCCTTCACCAAGTCTCCTGCCTTCACCTACTTTCAGGCTAAGCAGARCCATGAAATGAGGGAACACTGCCCTGGCCCGAGGGAACACTGCCCCTGCCCTTCGTGTGCTGAGGAAGACCATGTGCCAAAGGAATGCAGACTGGTTGGAGACAGCCTGTCCTGGGAGGACCCACCCATCACTCTCCCTCCCTGAGCACACCAACAGGCTTTGGGGTGAACTTCTGAACCGTCCACCTTGAGGTGAGGTGGGTCTGTCAGCCTGATCCAGAGGCCATTATGGAAATCCATTATCAAAGGGGTTATCAAATGAGGCATTATCAAATGAGCCTACTCAGAGAACCCAAACAAGCTCCTCCATTAGCTGTCTGAGCACGCAAGATCCCCGCTGCCGGCAAAATCGATCCCTTCTCTTTGCTGAGAACATCTCCAGGCCTTACCTGATCTGGGCATTCAGCCCGAAGAAGGGGTGGGAGGTGACCCTGGCATCAGGCTGCACGCTGCAGTGATCCAACAGCGGCATCAGAACTGCAGGACAAAGGCAGAGAACTCATTTGGACCTGTGGTGAGAGGTGGTGTGGGGTGGGGTCACCCCGTAAAGAGACACCCCCCTCCTCAGAGCCAGAACCTCCCAGGGCACCATCAAGGGCACAAGGAGGGAGGTGAGGGCACTGCTGGTCCCTGTGGTGGCACAGGGGTTATTCCAGCCACCCCAATGAGCAGTGAAGAAGGTATTTCCAGCCCCCACAAACTGAATCGCAGCTGGAGAGCTGGTTCTTCCTGCTGCACACACCCTCCACTGGGCCTGAGGGCTGTGCAGCACCCATGGGATGAAAGGGAGAGTGATGGGCACCCATGGGGAGAGCACAACCAAAACAGAGCTGTGCCTCTGAGGGACAGCCAAGGAGACTGGCTTGTCCTGGCTCCGGGCAGCCCCGAGGTGGTGAGACATCTCATCTGATATTTCAGCTCTTACACTCCCCCAGCCTGCTCACCCCTGACCACTGTTGGTGGAGGAGCACTGGCTGCTCTGGGGAGGGAGGATAGAGCCATGGAATCACAGGATTGTTTGCACTGGAAAAGCCCCGAAGATCATTGAGTCCAACCATTCCCCCAGCACTGCCAAGGCCACCCCTAAATCATGTTCCCAGGTGCCACATCCACATCTTTTAAATTCCTTAAATCCACAGCCCTGGGCAGCTGTGCCAGCCASAGCTGGACAACACTTTTGGGGAAGGAATTGTTCCCAATATCCAGCCTTGAGGCCGTTTTCTCTTGTCYTATCCCTGTTCCCTGTGAGCATAGCCCAAACCCCTCCTGTCAGGGAGTTGTGCAGAGCCACAAGGTCCCCYCTGAGCCTCCTTTTCTCCAGGCTGAGCCCCTTCCCCAGCTCCTTCAGCTGCTCCTGGTGTTCCAGCTCTGCTGCCCTTCCCTGTACGTGCTCCAGCCCCCCAATGTCTGTGCTGGGATGAGGGGCCCAGAACATCCCACAGGGTTCGTGCAGGGCACAGGCACCACCGTCCTGCCAGACCGCGTCCCCTCTGACTCAGGGCTCCCTCCTCAAAGGCTCTTTGCAAATTCCTGCCAGGAATGCAGCCCTGGCTGTCACAGAGGACAGGGCAAAGCCTGCAGGGATGGCCTCACCATGGGGACAGACTCACCGCTCGGGAACATGATGAGAGCGAGCTGGATGAGCCGGGCCGCTCGCTCTCGGGCCTGGCTCCGCTCCAGCTCCGGGCGCTCTTCCTGCTGGCTCAGGAAGAAATAGGCCAGTGGCACCGAGAAGGCAAAATTGGGCAGCTGGGACAGATTCCGGTGACTCTGCAGGATCGGGGAGAGAGTTACCGAGAAATGATGCTGTGCAGCAGATCCGGGCTGTGCGGGGTGGGGGCTCTGCCCGCCGGGGTTAAGTGAGTTCCCAGCCACTGGCTCGGTGCCCCCACAGCTGAGTGAGCAACTTTGAGTTCTTACAACTGTTTGCAGGATCCAAGCATTACAGGAACCAWCAGCCCAGCCTTTATGGATCATTCCAGTGCTGTTGGGATGCCAGCTGGGCTGTGAGATCCYCTCCCCACGTGGTGGGGAGCACCCCAGGCACCAACTCGCCCCCACCCCCTTACCTCCTGGCCACTCACCTCCCACTCCTGGAAGAGGCGGGTCAGGAAGGTGTATTCCCTGGCCCGGAGGGACAGGAAGTCAATGAGCAGCAGCACACAGAGYGGGTCATTCTCGGGATCAAGGCTTGGGAGCAGGGGAGAAAACAAAATCAGTKTTACAACAGCTGAGAGCTGCCCTGATTCCTGAGTCAAACAGCCTCTCACAGTGACACCCAGTGACTCAGCAAACTGGGAGAACGGGAACACATGGCCAGCGGGATGATGGAGTGGTGCTGTAAAAGGGATGGTCCCCTGTTACCACCCAGGAGGATCAGTGGCCACAAACTGCRTGGGCTGAAGCCACTGTCACAATTCTGTTCTGCTGAGCCTCCGAGTTCAGGCCACAGCTCAGGGGTCACAGGCCACCCAGGGCCCCTCCTCACCCATCACCTCTCCAAGGGCACCAGCACATCCCCAGCACAGACCTGGGCAGCTCTAAGTGGTGAGAACAAGTCCTCACCAAGGCCAGGAGCAGCAGGACCCCGCTGGGGTGACCATCCCCCAAACCCAGACACTCCATCCTCGGCAGAGGCACCAACCTCAGGATGAGCTTGCAGAACTCCAGGGCTGTGCGGGGACAACCCCTCTTCTCCAGGAACATCAGGTGCTTGAAGAGAGCCAGGAAGAAAGCCCTGCATGGGGAACAGCAGCAGGACTTAGAGATCAGATGTGGAAAGAAGCACTTTGTGCCACTCAAAAAAGGGTCACAGTCACTGCCAGCTCCTCACCCCCAAGCATCACACCCTGGTGTGCCACAGATTCCCCATGCTCCCACGTTTTTTCTTCTTTTWTTGCAAGATCAAGGACAGAAAATTCATGACCTGCTCTGGATGGAGACTGGGACCACGACAAATAAATCCACCAGTTCCACATCCTGCCTTGTCCCCGTGGTGTGGGGATGGTGACGCAGAGTGGGCAGGCCCAACTCCTGAACTGGGGATACAGGTCACCAATGGCACAAAGTGTGTCAGCCAGAGGGACTGAAATGTGAGCACCCTCCAGGTACAGCAGTYTGGGAGAGATGGCTTGGGTCAGCTGACTGGAAAATTCCCAGAATAAAGTCACCTTTCCCAGCAGCTGCAGAGCTGGAGTTACATAAAGAGCTGGGCTGGGAGGAGTATGAGTGCTGGGGACGATGGCTGGAAACRCACAGCAAGGATTTCTGTGACCATTTTGGACTAAGAGCTATTAATGGCATGAGAAGACAGGGAGGGACACTTCCTACTCCAGGAAGATATCCCTTCAGAAAAAGGATGCTTTGTTGCTTTGTRCAGAAGCATCCATGCACGAGCTGTGCTCCAGCACCATTCCAGGAGCCCCTGACAGAAAGGGACACTCAGGGTCCCCCTGGATGAGCAGCAGTGCTCAATTTGGGTGGCTGTGGCCAAAGTGGGAGCTGAAGGAGCTGCAGCTGAGCCTCCCCGTTCCCCAGCCCTGCTCACCTGTTCTCTGGCCGCCGGTAGTCCAACCTGCAGGTCCCGCTGGTGAGGCTGAACACGGGATGGAAGGCGCATTCCAGGCTGTACAGGGCCCGCTCTGGGAACAGCAGGGACAGTGTCAGGGACAGGACAGGGACACCAGTCCAGCACAGCACTGCCCAGCACTCGGTTTAGCCAAAAGACAGGAAATCAGCTCATTCCCAGCCACCGTGGCACAAAGTTACTTCACACAATGTGGCAGCAGCAGGTACGAGGGTGATGAGCAGTTCTACATTAGATCACAGTCTGGGCAGGAAAAGGAACCATTCTGGGATTGAATGGTCCAGCTGCCTCTGCCACAACTCTGGCACACGGGAAAGCCAAGCTCCTGCCCTCTGCTGCCCTGTGCCAGGGCCTGCCCACCCTCCCAGGAAGGATTTCACACTGACACATCTGCTCCTCACCTCACTCTTACCTATGAGATCCCGGGCCATCTCCTGGTCCTCCTGCATGCGRCACACATCACTGAGCTGCAGCAGCGAGTCCACGTGGTAGGGGTTCATCTGGAGCAGCAGCTGCACAAGAGCATTGCAAAGATTCCAGGTCATTACTGGTGTGTCAGGAATTTGGCCACTGAGCCAGGCACCTTCCAGCACCAGCTCTGTGACACACAGAGCCTGTCCTGCCACATCCACCCGTCCTGCCAAGCTGGAGAGCACAGGGAGCTCTGTCCCCACCAYGTGCAGGAGGGGAGCCCTCAATTGCAGCCTCCCTCAGGCAGCTCCCTCACAGCTTTTCCAGCACAGGCCATGCCAGGCCTTTGATCATCTTTATTGTCCTCCTTTAGATCTCATCCAGCTCCTCCATTTCCTTTGAAAGGAAAGAAAAAGATGCAGGCACCGTTACAGTTTGAGGCTTTTTATCTATCCCTCAACAGTTCTGAGCATTTGTTCAGGGGTTTGCATCCTCTGGATGCTGAGAGGAAATTTGGACACATCTATTACAAATCCAGGAACCAGCAATGGTAAGGGATAATAACAATAAATATTTACTTCCAGGCTTCAAAAGAGAAGTTTAGCCTAAAAACTTCCTCCATTGACTAAGTATATTACAAATAGGTTAAATTTCCTAAGTACCTAAAACCTCAGTGCAGTAAAAATCATTGAAGCTACTACAAATCTTCTCATAGACTAGTTTGGGTTTGGTTTTTTTTTCTTAAAACTGAAAACATAAAGCTTCTGAAGCTCCAGAAGTTTCCATCTGCAGGGTGGGGACCTGTGAGACCACCTACAGCAAAAGACTGGATGCTCCACGCTGACCCAGCCCAGCCTGGAGCCACTTGCCTGATGCTTAGCCTCTTCCTTAAAGGGTAACACTCACAAAAGCTCCTTTCTAGTCCACTTTTTGGGGGGACATGGAGTGCTTGGGGTCAYTGTGATAGCAAAAAGCCAAGAAAAGGTCACCAAGACCCTTTAGGCTACCAGCAAGGAAAAACACTCCCTGAACAAAAGACTCCCCAAAAATAATGTTTTATGTGTTGAAACCACAGCAGCAAGGCAGAGCTGGGCTCCAGCTACACCAGGACTGTGGTGACCATGGACAAAYTGTCTGTTGGCAAATCCATCTGTTAGATTTTACCCTTAATGAAGAAGTAGAAGCCTTCAARCTGTAGGAACGTCCTCAAATTTAGCCAAATTCCCTAAAAGGGTCAGAGCATCCAGAGTAAAATACCATGAAAAGCCTGTCCTGTGTGGGACCAAGCTGGAGCTGCCCCTGGGACTCTCTGCTGCACAGGAATTACCYTGGCTCACCTAATCCAAATGCTCAATCCAGGCAGAACTGCCGAGCTGGAGCAAGCACCCTGAGCCRAGGGTGGGAAAGCAGAAGGAAGTAAACTTTTCTTAGCAGACAATGGGCTCTTTAAGGAACATCTCCAGGGCATGTATCCCAGCTTCTGTGGCYAGGCCTTTCAGAGAAAACATCCCTCAGTTATGGTTTAGCTGGGTGCAGAGCAATTTGGCTGTTGCTTATCACGCCAAACTATAAATGTTACCATACAGCTTAATGAGTTCGGACATGCATGAAGGACTCCCAACACAAAAGCCCGTTTTGCTGAAATACCAAGAAAAGTCACATTTTAATCCTTGCAGGAGTTTATAAATAGAACAGCTGTTAGTTTGGATTCCCAGTTCATGATGGGTTTATACAATATTYCTCCTTTCCCAGCTAAGAGCTGACACAAGGGAGCTTTATTCCCTCCCTTCCAGCCAAACGGACGGTTCCTGTGGGTTTCTCTCTCAGAAGGTGACTGGCATGTGCTTAGCAGAGCATCCAAGGCTCAGCCACYGGCCACCAGACCTCCTCTGAACCAAGAAGATCACTTATTAACAAGGTGACAGCACAGCTCAGTGCTCAGCACTGCCTCGCCCCACACAGAGGGAAAAGAAATAATCCAAGGCTCWGCAGAGGGATCTGGACAGGATGGATCAAGGGGATGAGGCCAGTGGGRTGAGGGTCAACAYAGTGAACTGTTGGGACCTGCCTGTGGGTCACATCAACATCATGAATGCTACAGGMTGGGGGCAAAGTGGCTGGAAAAGGASCTGGAGGTGCTGGTGACAGTGGATGGACAYRAGCCCAGGTGGGCAGGAAGGCCACTGGCACCTGGCCTGGGTCAGCAATGGCCCCAGGACCAGGACAGTGCTTGTCTCCTGTGCTGGCACTGCTGGGCCACTTCCAGTACTGGGGGAGCTCTGGGCCACTCATCCCAACACAGACACTGAGGGGCTGGAGTGTGTCCAGAGAAGGGAACAGAGCTGGGGAAGGAGCTGGAACACCAGGAGAGGCTGAGGGAGCTGGGAAAGGGGCTCAGCCTGGAGAAAAGGAGGCTCAGGAGGACCTTGTGGCTCTGCACAACTCCTGAAAGGGGGCAGCCAGGGGGGTCGAGCTCTGCTCCCAGGGAACAGGGACAGGAGGAGAGAAAATGGCCTCAAACTGTGGCAGAGAATGTTCAGGTTGAATATTTGGAATGATTCCTTCCCCAAAAGTGCTGTCCAGCCCTGGCCCAGCCTGCCCAGGACAGTGGCAGATTCTCCATCCCTGGAGGGTTTAAAAGTGGTGWGGATGTAGCAGTTGTGGACATGGGTCAGGGGTGCAGTGCAGGGGGAACAGCTGTCTCAGAGTCTTTTCCAACCCAAACAATTCCAGTGGGATGCACCAGCCCACCTCCCCAGGAAAAGAGGCTGCAGGAGCACAGCAGGGAACAGCACGAACGTACCACGATGTTGTTGGGGTCCATGGACTCCACAGCATCCAGGAATTTGAACTGGACCTGCTGGTACTCACGGTGGTGCTCGAAGGTGAAGTGCTGCACCCCTCTCCGGGTGTCCAGCAGCTGCATGGTGATACCTGGAGGGTGCAGGGGAGACCTGGGTACCCCAAAAGAACCTCTTCTGCTCTCCCACAGCCTCGAAAGCTCACTCACATCACTGGGTCCAGAGCCACAGGTGTTTTTGGAAATTCCCAGAGAATTTCACTCTTTTCTCCCCATCTCCTGAGTCAAAGTGCCAACACACCCAAAAATCCCAGACTGTGCACTCTCCCCAGGGATATCTCTCATTATCCAGCAATCCTGCTGCTAAGATGGGAAGCACCCATGTCCTGCTACCTCCAAAAGAGGGGGAAACAAACCCAAATCATGAGGTACAACTCCACAGATTCCTCTGTTGAGGAAGGTGTATTTCCACCAGCTGAGGAGCAGTTCCCTTTTAGATTCTGTGCCCTGAGCAGCATCCATGGCACATGGGAGGGGGCCAAGGGTTAGGAGGGCAGGAGGGGACAGGAGGCAGCCCCAAAAGCCTCACCTGTCTTGCTGTAGCGTGGCCAGGTGTTCTTGGGAGCTGTCAACCACATGCTGCGGACGTACTGCCGCTGCCTTTGCCTGGGCCTGGGGAGRGGAACACACAGGTCACAATTCTCAGCACTGACAGAAGGAGGGATGAAATCATCTTTCAGGGAAAAAATTAGATCCTTCCTCACACTGAGCTGCACCCAGAGCCTGGTGTTTGCCTCCAAGACACAAAACATCTGTGCTCACACTTTGCCTCATGTGCACCATCTAGGCCAGCCAGTGCCTCCAACATCTCCACTTCCAGAGCTTCTCTCTCTGTTTTTATCCCTGCCAAACTCTCAGCTGCCTCTGTGCTTCAAACAGGTCCAATTAGGAGAGCCCCACATYCCTCTGATTCATCCCTCTTCCCAGCAGGATCTTCGAATGTCAACTGGATTAGTTTAAGCCACACTCAAAAAWGCACAATTTATCRGTTCAGGAGCAATTCAGGATCGAGSYTGARAGAATCATGTCTCCTCAGAAAGAGATCATAGACTATCCTCAATTTGGCAGTAAATGAGAGGAGAAAGAAGCAAAAGAAAAAGCAAATGCCAGCAAAAGCCTGGAGAAGTCTTCCCCCACTTTGCACACATCACAAAAAATGTTCCTCTGTTCCAACAAGCAACCACTAAATGAGTAACACACCCTGAGTCTGGGATTACCTACCCAGGTGTGGCACTGGGAACTCCATGAGCCCTGCCAAGCACAGGACAGACCTCCTTGGACATGGAAATGGTTTAATATCACCATTTAATAATTAATTATTCTGGACTAACCTCTGGTCCCCAAGCACAGCACGAGCCCCAAAATATCTCTTCAATTCATTCTCTGGATTCAAGTTTCTGAAAAGGTGGAAAAAGGAAAGAAAGGGTCAATCAGTTAAACACAGCCCAAAATGCCACACTCAAATCTCTCCATCAACACCCATTACCCCAAAGTGCCTCTGGAAAACCCCCAAACTGTCCCACTGATCACACACAGCACAGAGAAAGGAGACTAAAACCAGCCAGAAGTGGCAGGGAAGGCCTTGCTGTATCAGACATGCTTGCTTCCTGCTCTGCTCCAGAGCTGGGGAATACAGCTGCTGCCCTCTCCAGGGCAGCTGGAGCCTTAGCTGGGATGTTCCAGGAGAAGCCAGGGCTCGGGAGTACAGGTGAATTCCATGTCAAGCTTTACACACCAAGGCTCTTGACACCTCTGCAGAGGCTCTCCCACAAAGGATCAGAGGCTGGAATGTCCTCTGGAGACTAATCTGGTCCTACCACCCACTCCAGGCAGGCCTGGCAGCAGAAAACCCCCATCAAAACAAAAAAAAATGCCTTCCAGAGGAGCTGTTAGGAACAGGGATGTGCATAACCTGTTAGGAACAGGGATGTGCACAACCATGCCAACCCTTCCCAGCAAGGTGTGGAGTTTGTGGCCAGATCACACTGGGAAGCTCCCATCTCCCTTCTTCGGGGGACAGATATCCTGTCACACCTGTCACACCAAGGCACCTCTTGGCACCTCTGCAGAGGTTCTCCCACAGAGGGTCAGAGGCTGGAATGTCCTCTGGAGACTAATCTGGTCCTACCACCCACTCCAGGMAGGCCTGGCAGCAGAGAACCCCCATCAAAACAAAAAAATGCCTTCCAGAGGAGCTGTTAGGAACAGGGATGTGCACAACCATGCCAACCCTTTCAAGCAAGGTGTGGAACTCGTGGCCAGATCACACAGGGAAGCTCCCATCTCCCTTCTTCAGGGGCAGATATCCTGTCACACCAAGGTCAGGAGGGAGGTGAGGTGGGTGCCAGCAGTACCTGTGCTCCACGTAGAGCAGAGGCCGGCTGTCGGTGATGATCCCACCCTGGCTCTGTGGCACCAGCCCGGGGTCCTCAATCCTCTCCAAAAGGCTGTCAATGTCTTCCAGGTCATTGTCTTCCTTAAGAGAGGCAAAGCAAGGCATTTATTACAGGCTGAGTCACAGCATCCTGCGGGTCACCCAGCAGAGATCACACCCTGTCATCTCCATCATCCTGATCCCTGGGCAATGGGCTGTGGCGCTTCAGAAAATCAAATCACAGAATGCTTTGGGTTGGAAGGGACCTTAAAGCTCATCCAGTGCCACCCCCTGCTGTAGGCAGGGACACTTTCCACTGTCCCAGAGTGCTCCAAGTCCAACCTGGCCTTGGACACTTTGGGATGGGGCAGCCACAGCTGCTCTGGGCACCCTGTGCCAGGGCCTGACCACCCTCACAGGGAAGAATTTCTTCCCAATATCCATCTAACCCTGCCCTCTGGCAGTGGGAAGACACTTCCCCTTATCCTGACACTCCAGGCCCTCGTCCAAAGATATTTTAAATACTTAAGTAACCAGCCTTCACCCTCCACTTTCCACGGAAACACCAAGTTACTGCTGTGAGCCTCATGATAAGGTCCCAAACACTCACATGACTTTAATCCAACTGTCCTATTCCCCATCTTCCARCCATCCCAGGAATTCATCCAGCTGCTCACATCCAACAGTTGTGTAACACTTTCACCCTGATTCCCCTCTATTTCCCCTCCCACAAACAACAAGTGACACATTTCTTACGTGCCTGTTTCACATCCTCCTCATGATGTCCATGGGTGGAACACAGAATTCCATTCAGGACACCCAAGCAGCACTGCCAGCTTGCCTTTTCCAGCTAAATTTAGCCCGTGTGTGGAGTGTACAAAGGGAAGGGATAACGTGCTCTGCATGGAAGGGCTGGAACAGAGACTGTATTATCCCTTGTAGGCAAACCAAACTGCCCGGGTCTGGGTCTCCCCCAGCCTCCAGCTGGCACATGTCCCTCTGCTGCTCAATATTCTTGGACTGGGAAAGGAAACAGGCTCTCCAGGAGAGTTCTCTACCTCAGGAACTCGCTCCTGAGTGGAATTCTCARAGAGGAGGATGCCAGCTGGATGCTGGAGCTTCTGTCACAGCTTAGCCATTCACTCCAGCATCCTGTGRCTCAGGATGTTGAGCAAAGAATCTCCCTGGAGTGAACAGGGAGGTTGGACTCCATGATCTGGGAAGTCTTTTCCAACCTTAATTCTGTGGACTGACTGTTCAAAACTCCAACCTTGCCAGAAAACYAGCTGCCATTCCTCTTGAATTTAGGAGATCCATGACTTTTACCCACCTGCTCATTCCAGCTMTGGGGTCCCCAGTACTGGAAGGATGTGGARCTGCTGSAGTGAGTCCTGAGGAGGCCACAGAGAYRCTCCAGGGTTGGAGCCYCTCTGCTATRGAGACACCTTAGAGCCCCTTCCAGTSCCTAAAGGGGCTCCAAGAGAGCTGGAAAGGGRCTTTGKACAGGGSATAGAGTGAGTGGACAGGGCTTGRAGCAACCTGGTCTGATGGAAGGTRYCCCTGCYTGTGRCAGGGGGTGGAATGAGATGAGCTTTAAGGTCCCTTCCAAACTAAACAATTCTAGGAGTCCACAATTCTAGAAACGCTTCTTTAAATTTATAATTTGAAATGGCTTTTTTTTTTGCCTGGAATCTCTCCTACAGCCACCTCAGAATTCCCACTTTGCCAACCCCACTGGAGGAATCAGCCGGACTCAGATCTCACACAGACATACCACAGTCTCTCCTGCTGAATTTTTCTTGGTTTTCCTTTTCTTTTTTTTCTTCCGTGGCTTGTTACTTGATGCTGGCTGCAAAGACAAAGAGAAGAGCTGTCAGCACTCCTGTGAACTGCAGGGGTGCCAGCTCCATGGGAAGAAGAGCATTTCCCACAGGAATCAGCACACTTAAATAAAATCAAAATTCACCCTTTAGCATTTGTTAGTGAGTGGAAATTAAGACACTAGGAGAAAATGGAGGAAAGCACCAAAGATTCACAAAGGGTTACACCTCAGCCAACTTTCAGATCAATGTCTGAGGCTACAAAATCAGGAGAAACAAGTATAACTGTGCCAGGTGTGAAGGAAATGCTTCAGCCTCTTTCAGTCTCCAGGATAAGCTGCATTTCTACCTTTCTGAGGAGCAGGTCAGTTCCCAGTTTCATTCCCATTTCCACAGAAACCAACACCTCACAAATGTCCCAGTGACAGAGGCCTCTCCCTGCAGATGCAGCTGCTCCAGCTCAGGATGTGGGGGGCATTCCCTAACCTGACTGGCACAGTTGGCTCTTCCCTGGGTGCACAGGATCTAGCAGGTAACACAGCAATGGATCACAGCATCATGGAATGCTTTGGCTTGGAAGGCATCTCAAAGTTTATCCAGTCCCCTACCCCCTGCCATGGGCAGAGACTCCTTCCACTAGACCAGGTTGCTCCAAGCTCTCTCCTGGTTCTCCTGGCTCTACCCAAGAGCAGCAGGCGCCCGTCCAGGGCTCCCACACCCTACCTGGAGCTCTGGGAGCAGCCACAGGTGTGTCCTGCAGTGCTGGCACAGCAAACTCACCAGGTCAGGGCTCCTAAAACCACTGCTCACACAGGGACCACAATCCTGAGCACWCACAGCCCCTGGGCTGGCAGAGGCCACTGGCACAGCTGGAATGCACAACTTTGCTCCTCTAGCACCCAAACCCCAGGGACACACACCCCAAAATGCACAGCAAATAGGGGAGACCAGGGGCCAACATCCTTTGCTCCCCTAGCCCTCATCTCCAGTGAGATCTGGGCTAGACTTGCCATGGAAGATTATTAATTAAATACCCCTTTCCTTACAAAATCCTGCAAGGARACACTTCTGGGCTGATACAGACCACAGGAGGAATTCTGACCTCCAGTGACAACAAATCACTATGGGGAACAACATGTTCAGTATTCAGTTGACACTGTTTGAAGTCTTGACATCTTGTGTTCCAAAACAAATGCATCCTGGGGACATTTCCCCTCAGCCAAACGTCAGTGCTCATGCAGCCTCAGCACAACATCTTCCTCGGGTGCCTCCTCTCTGCAGCTGGAAAATCCCTCTGGACCCTACAAACCCAGCCCTCAGGACCAAACTGCTCATCCTTCTCCAGATCTGAGTTCCCAGGTTTAGGCGTGTGCCCGTGCCCTGTCTCTCTGTCAAATCCCTGCGGGTAGCTACCGTTTGGTCTGGCTGCTCAGCCTCCTGCCCGTCTCTGTGCCCATCTCCATCCGTGTCCTC